GGAGGAGGAAACTTCCTAACTAGTTTTATTAGATGAATAAAACCCTGGCATCAAAACCTGACAATAACTTTACAAAAAAATTACAGCTCAGTATCCCTTGTGAACATAGATGCAAAAATCCTTAAAGTGTTAGCAAATCCAGATAGTTATATACATATAAATTATAATACATCATGTCCAAATAGGGTTTATCTCAGTAATGTAAGGTTGGTTTAACACTTGAAGATCAACCAGTGTAATCCACCATATTAATCAGAATACAGGTTATATTTGTTATTATAAGGTCTCAAAATTTAATGAAGCTCCATTCTGATTGGCTTACAGAGATTATAAATGTATATGTAAACAAGAGAAACCGAAATATTTCTAAAAAAGAAAAAATTTACCTCTTACATTGTTAAGTGTGTGGGCTATTTAAAGAAAAATATTGTTACTAAGAATATTGTTACTAAAGCTATGAAAGCAGAGGTTTTCTGATTTTCTCAGATGCTTTCAATCAAAACCTTAAAAAGAAATGTAATTGCTTCTTAAAGACAATCCAACATCTAAAGCAAATTTCAATTTACAAAATTAAAGCCTACACTAAAGATACCAATTAAAAAAAATTTTTTTAAAGCATTATATAAGGAAGTAGCCCTTACTGGTTTTATATTCATTAATACAAAAAGAAGTTTAATCTAATTGCTGTCTAAAAATTGTTTAATTTCTAAATAAGAAAGATGTGTTCAATTGCCACAAACTGGCCCCACGCTGACAGGGAGGGAGGGAAAGAAAGACCGGTTATTTCAAACAATACTCATACTGGTTGATGTCATCCAAAACCATCTTTAGACCTTTAATACTTTCATAACAAAAATAATCCAAGTGGCAGAGACAAATCTGTTCTAAATTTACAAAAATATTGGTGGAATAAATTTTATCTGGGCAACTCAGTGGAGGACCAAATCTTGTTTTATCTCTAATTATTATGATCTGGAAAAACTATAAGGGTAGAGCAAGCCTTGGAACCCAGCTTCGAGGCATTTAAGCATTTCTATATAAATTTCATTCAGTTACTTCAAAACTTTAAATATGTTTAATAATAGTTTGTAAATCTTCTGGTTGGATCAAGATTTTCCCTTGATAAAAGGCAAATGCTTTAACAGCTTATTTTGGTTTTCCCTCTAGGGATACCTTCAATACTCTCTATGGATAAACAAAAACCTTACATTACAGGTAAAATACCTGACAAACTATAAATTACACATGGTACTCTCATTAAAAGGAAACTTCACTATCCACATCATCCCCAGATATTGGTAAGATAAATGGAGTGGTCCTGATGAATACTGTTAACTATCTCATGTACACAGTCATTTTCCTGACAGATGCAAACTACACTCCCAGCAAGGATACCACTGGATAATCCCTCTATAATACACAACTAGGAGAATGAATATATTAAAAGAGACCAATGAAAATGAATCTTAAAACTAAATTTACATTTAGACTTGCATTTTATTAGTTTTCTCCTCTTTCTCTTACTTTTTACCTTTTGTTTATTCCTGTTTTCTGTCCCCTCAACTCTTTAAGCTGTGTAATTTACAATGACAGCTATCCTTTCCTTTCTGGCTTTTAATTATGTTACCTAACTTCAAAATCCTCAGGACTTCCCTGGTGGCTCAGTGGTTAAGAATCCGCCTGCCAATGCAGGGGACATGGGTTTGATCCCTGGTCCGGGAAGATCCCACATGCTGTGGAGCAACTAAGCCTGTGAGCCACAACTGCTGAGCCTGCGCGCCACAACTACTGAAGCCCGTGAGCCTAGAGCCCGTGCTCTGCAACAAGAGAAGCCGCCGCAATGAGAAGCCCGCACACCGCAACTAGAGAAAAGCCCACACGCAGCAACGAAGACCCAACGCAGCCTAAAAAAAAAAAAATCCTCAAATATTATCAACCTAAATATGTCTCTCCATACTTAACTGGCCTTCAGTCCCCCTAAAGAGAGCTTCTGTGGTAGGTAGTTCATAGGATGGGCCCCTGAGCCTCTTGGTATGGTATTCATGTTCTTGTGTAATTCCTTCCCCTTGAGTGTGGGCTGGACTCACTGGCTCATTTCTAATGAAAATAATACAACTGAAGTGATTGGGCATAACTTCTAAGGTTAGGTTATAAAAGACTGGTTTCCATCTTGGTCTTAGATTCCATGTCTCTCTCTCTCTCTCTCTCTCTCTCTCTCTCTCTCTCTCTCTCTCTCTCTCTCTCTCTGACAATATACAGAGACAACCTGTTCTGTGTACGGTCTACTTAAGTTTTCTGGAGAATCTATAAATAGCTAACATTGTTTTCATTGATGCCTTGAGCCAGCCAGCTCCAGGGCAGACTGCCTAGACTGACTGCTTTACAAAATGCTAGCTTGTCAGTTTCCTTCTAGAAAAGCAGACAAGACTCATGGTTTCCTGACATCCCACATTCCCCCCCCGTCTTTTATGAATCCATTTTTAAAACCCTCCTTAACAGTCACCTATTGATTCCCTCCTTCCTATGAGTAAATTTGTTTGCATATAATTAACTGCCTCCATGGTATTCTTTGACAGGAGTATATATAGAACGAGTATACGCAAAGAAGGTGTCAAAAGTTTGAACCTGGGGCATTCCGTTATTTAGAGGTCAGAAGCAGAGCAGTTAATGAGAGTATCAACAAAGCTGGAGAAACTAGGAGAAGGTATACTTCTGAAAACCAAGAGAAGAAAGGGTTTCCAGAAGGAGGAGTGATTAACTGTCAAATACTGCTGAGTGGTTCAATTAAAGCAGAACCGAGACTTTACTGAGGACTTGGCAACTAGGAAGTCACTGCCTTCATAGGTGTGGTTTCAGTGGACTGGTGGGAACAAAAACCTAATTGAAGTAGGATGAGGAGGGAATAGAGCAGATCTATTAGATCTGGCTGTAAAGGAGATCAGAGAAATGAGATGTGGCTGGAGGGGCATGGTGAGGGTTGACTCTAAAAAAATTGTTAACTTTTGGAACATAATAGATAATACTTTAACATGATTAAAAATTACACATAAAACATTATGTATAAAATGTCTCCCTTTCACTCCTGATTCCCATCTGAATTTATTATTTCTTGTATATTCTTCAATTCTTTGCTTCATGCACACATAAGAAAATATTATTCCTATTTTTTATTGCAAAAGGCAGGAAACTAATACATAATGTTCTCCATGTTCCTTTATTTTTAAACAATACATTCATGCAAGTATATCTATAGGATAAACTTCCAGGAGTGGAATTGCTGGGTTAAAGGCATGTTTTTGCAATACTGATAGATATTTCTCAGTTGCCATCCATAAGAGTTGTATCAACTTATACTTTCACCAGCCATGTATTCCCCACAGTCTCACTGTTGTCAAACTTTTTTTTTAAACAATCTGAACAGTGGAAAATGGTATCTGAGAGGATTTTCTTTTAGAAATGAAAACTAGGAAAATTTTAGAAAGAAAATAGAAAGTATTAGAAAGCCTGAATATGCAGGGGAGAGAGAGAGGAGGTAACTAACTGCAGGAGCAGACTTCCTTACTAGGCTGGAGGAGCCGGATCCGCTGCACTGGTGATTCATTTAACAGGTACAGATGCAGAGGGTTGTTGTATATTTTGAAGGTGCAAGTGTCTTTTGATTGCTTCTATTTTTCATGTGAAATAAAAATCGCGGTCATAAGGTTGGCGAGGAGAGGGGAGAGGGTGTTGAACATCTGAGAGAAGAGATGTGAACTGCTTCGCTTAGAGAGTCGGGGAGTAGCCTGCCCAGGGCAGCAGCTACGATTGTTGAGCAGCTCTGAGGACCCCCATGAGGATTGCAGCCTTAAATTTAAAGTGAATTTTGAAGGAAAAGGAGCACCATGCATGAAGAAGAACCCTGCTTCAGGGAGATGTGAGTAGAAACAAAAAAGCAAAGCATTCATCTAGTATTCATTTAACAAATATTTAGGGGGACTCTCCTACACAGAGGCACTGTTGCTGGGTCCTGGCTTGTCACTTAACAGCAGATCACAAGCATATTCAAGTCGGCTGTTCACACAAATCTGATTATTCATTATGCAAACAAAAAATATAAAAAGTTACCGTAGGATCTCTTTATATGAATTGTTCTTAACTTTGAGGATGGGGGTTCTGACTCTTTTGGTAGCCTGAACAAACAGCTTCTCAGAAAAATATGCACATATACAAATTTGCAGACAATTGCAGGTGGTGTAGAACCACAAATTAAGAATCTCTCAAACTTTAGGGAAATAAAACTTACCTATTTTAAAGGATGTATTGTTGTTCTAGTATATTTTGAATGATTCAGTTTACACAAAGCTTTCCATGAGCTACTTCGTGTTGTGTACTGGACATCTCAATAAGGGCTCAGAATGTGAAATTAGGTTTACAAAAAGTTGCAAAAATAGTATAGAGTACCCCTATGTTCTTCACCCAGAATCCCCTAAAGTTAACATCTTACATAACCGTAGTGCAATTATCAAAACTATTGATACAATAATACACCTTGTTCAAATTTCGTCAGTTGTCCCATTCACGTCCTTTTTCTGTTCCAGGGTCCAATCCAGGATTTCACTTTGCGTTTAGCTGTCCTGGACTTGGCTTTTTTTTTTCCTTCTTCTTTTTTTAATCCAAAAGGGCTATGTGTTCTTGGGCAAATTATTGTCCGAGTCTGTCTTCTGTCTTAATAGACGTGATGTGATTAAGAATCAATAAAAAAAAATACATGTGGAATGTTTTCGGAAACTTCAAAGGTAACGAAATTGTTCTTACTGCTCAAAGCTGGGCATATCTAGTGTGGCCTTTCGTTCAAATTAAAATAAAGATAGAAGCGTATTATTATTGTCAAGATGTTTGTCCCCAAGTAGGACCCGTAGCTTCTCCCTTGGCCGCCACGATACGCTTCCTCTAATTGGGCAGCGTGTATCCGCGCTGACGCAGGAAGGCCGTCTCATTGGTCCGCGCAGTCGGGACTCAGGCGGCTTTTCTTTTAGTGCTCAAGGCGCCGACCCATTTCTCTTTCTCCAGCCGAGCGTTCCCTTCCTTCCGAAGTGCCAGCCTGAAGGGATCCAGACTGACGTAGGCCGGGTAGCTGCACTGAGGTCAGCCGGGAAGAAGCGGCGGGTATGGAATACGGGTGGTCGGCGAGCCTGGATGAGACGGTCTTGTCGGTGCGCCCCCTCGACCCCCCACGCTCTCCGCGACTTCCCTGCCCAGTCTCCGCTGGTCCCACCTCCCTCGGGCTCCCCTAGAGCTTCCGCGCCCCTCCGCCACGCTTCCGCTGGCCCCGCCCTCGACCCTCAAAGGTCCCGCCTCCTTCGCGAACCCTCCCGCTGGCCCCGCCCTCGACTCCTCCCCCGAAAGGCCCCGTCTCCTCCGGCAGCCCTCCCGCTGGCCCCGCCCTCGACTATATCCCGCCAAAGGCCCCGCCTCCTCCGCCGGCCCTCCCGCTGGCCCCCGCCTCCGCCAGCCTTCCCGCTGGCCCCGCCCTCGTCTCCTCCCCCTAAAGGCCCCGCCTCTCACCAGCCCCTCCGCTGGCCCTGCGCTTGCCGCCTCCTCAGCGGCCCCGCCGCACCGAGCACACATTCCTCCCCGTTTCTTTCTTCCCACCTTTACCGCCTTGGTCCCTCTGCCTCTAAGTTAGGTTTAGTCCCTCTATTTCTCTCCACCTCCCTGCGCCCGGCCGTGTAACTGCACCTTTTTCTCAACTCTGCCACTTAGGTACCCCTCTCCTCATCTGACTGCCCGGGTCACCGGATTCCCCCACTGATTCAGGCTGCCTCTATATGAGCTTGACAGATTGTGTAGCGGCCTCGTGCTGGGCATTGGAGGTCTCTGTTTGCAAGACCTCCCCGCCCGGTGGGAGAGTCACTTTGTAATGGAGTCTAACAGGCTCGGGGATGCCTTTAATCAAAGATGCATAGTATTGGGATGCTTAAAGGAAGGGGTGCTGGAGTTACAACCCCTCCTTGTGCGATCTGCAAGCAGACCTGGCAGGGACTAAGCTGTACCTTTCTCCCAGAATGTACCAGGCTTCTTCTGATGCAGAAGCTTGGCTCTAACCATTGTCCTTTAAACACTGGGGAGTGATTAAAATCTTGTCATGGGCCCGTCTTTTAACCAAAGTTATTAGGGCTTCAGAGCCCATCCATCCTAACCCTCGCTGTGCTGATTGGGAGGTGGAAGGCAAGAGACAGATGAATGATTGGCCTAGGCAAACAGTGAGTCAGCATCCCATTCTTGATGCTGCTTTTTGGAGTTTCTCATGAGGATTCTTACCAATTTTTCAATTACCAGCAGTCTTACTTGGTAGGTAAACCAGAGAGTATGTGTAGATAAGACGTTCAGTCAGTCAGTAGTTTCCTCCAAGCCACCACCCTACTTCAGTGTATACTATTCAGAAGACAGTGACTCACACACCTTCAGTCTCTTGGAGTCAGGAATCCCTGGGGTCTGAGCCCAGCTCCGCCATTTGCTGTAAAGGTTGGCAGAGAAATTTTATCTGAGCCTCAATTTTACCTTCTACAGAAAGAGCATGATAAACCCTATCATTCATGGTCATGGTATGGATTTGCTGAGATCCTGCTTATGAAAACAGTCACTCTTACAGTCCTGTGCATAATAGGATCTGAGCACAGGTGATCCCTAACTCTTCAGATTCATGTCTGTCTGATTCAAGCCAGCAAAGAGCCTGCTATGTCGCCCTCTCCCAGGCACCATGACGACCCTGGATGATAAGTTACTGGGGGAGAAGCTGCAGTACTACTACAGCAGCAGCGAGGATGAGGACAGTGACCGCGAGCACAAGGACAGAGGCAGGGGTGCCCTGGCCGGCAGTTCCATGCCTGCAGATGCTGAGTTGGCAGGCGAAGGCATCTCAGTTAACACAGGTACTGGAAACCCTGTGCTCTGGGAACAGGTTTAAAAAATGTCCATTAAATATGTATCAGAAGTCTTGTGATCACTTCTTTTCTTTCACAGTAAAAATTTTTTTTTTAATTTTTATTTTATTATTTTTTTGGCAGTACGTGGGCCTCTCCCTGCTGTGGCCTCTCCCGTTGCGGAGCACAGGCTCCGGACGTGCAGGCTCTGCGGCCATGGCTCATGGCCCCAGCCGCTCCACGGCATGTGGGATCCTCCCGGACCGGGGCACGAACCCGTGTGCCCTGCATTGGCAGGCGAACTCCCAACCACTGCGCCACCAGAGAAGCCCTATTTACTTTTTAATACTGTAGGTTCTTAATAGTCATCAATTTTATACACATCAGTGTATACATATCAATCCCAATCGCCCAATTCATCACACCACCATCCCTACCCCCCGGGGCTTTCCCCTCTGGCGCCCATACGTTTGTTCTCTACATCTGTGTCTCAACTTCTGCCCTGCAAACCGGTTCATCTGTACCACTTTTCTAGGTTCCACATACATGCGTTAATATGCGATATTTGTTTTTCTCTTTCTGACTAACTTCACTCTGTATGACAATCTATAGATCCATCCATGTCTCCACAAATGACCCAATTTTGTTCCGTTTATGGCTGAGTAATATTCCATTGTATATATATACCACATCTTCTTTATCCATTCGTCTGTCGATAGGCATTAAGGTTGCTTCCATGACCTGGCTATTGTAAATAGTGCTGCAATGAACATTGGGGTGCATGTGTCTTTTTGAATTATGGTTTTCTCTGGGTATATGCCCAGTAGTGGGATTGCTGGATCATATGGTAGTTCTATTTTTAGTTTTTTAAGGAACCTCCATACTGTTCTCCATAGTGGCTGTATCAATTTACATTCCCACCAACAGTGCAAGAGGGTTCCCTTTTTTCCACACCCACTCCAGCATTTGTTGTTTGTAGATTTTCTGATGATGCCCATTCTAACTGGTGTAAGGTGGTACCTCATTGTAGTTTTGACTTGCATTTCTCTAAAAATTAATGATGTTGAGCAGCTTTTCATGTGCTTCTCGGCCATCTATATGTCTTCTTTGGAGAAATGTCTATTTAGGTCTTCTGCCCATTTTTGGATTGGGTTGTTTGTTTCTTTAATATTGAGCTGCATGAGCTGTTTATATATTTTGGAGATTAATCCTTTGTTGATTCATTTGCAGATGTTTTCTCCCATTCTGAGGGTTGTCTTTTTGTCTTGTTTATGGTTTCCTTTGCTGGGCAAAAGCTTTTAAGTTTCATTAGGTCGCATTTGTTTATTTTTGTTTTTATTTCCATTACTCTAGGAGGTGGATCAAAAAAGATCTTGCTGTGATTTATGTCATAGAGTGTTCTTCCTATGTTTTGCTCTAAGAGTTTTATAGTGTCCGTCTTACATTTAGGTCTCTAATCCATTTTGAGTTTATTTTTGTGTATGGTGTTAAGGAGTGTTCTAATTTCATTCTTTTACATGTAGCTGTCCAGTTTTCCCAGCACCACTTATTGAAGAGGCTGTCTTTTCTCTATTGTATATCCTTGCCTCCTTTGTCATAGATTGGTTGACCATAGGTGCTTTGGTTCATCTCTGGGCTTTCTATCTTGTTCCATTGATCTATGTTTCTGTTTTTGTGCCAGTACCATATTGTCTTGATTACTGTAGCTTTGTAGTATAGTCTGAAGTCAGGGAGTCTGATTCCTCCAGCTCCGGTTTTTTCCCTCAAGACTGCTTTGGCTATTCGGGG